AACATTACATGCTTTTTATATCCGTAGAGCAAATATAAAACTACTTTTATTCATATTACTGCCCTTTCATAACAAAAAAATTATATTTTGATAAACACTGTAAAGAACATGTAAATATTTGACAGTGCACGTGTCTCTGATGCAGTATGCTTAACACTGTTACTGAGCAAGGCAAAAAGTCAGTATGTAAGGCTTTCTAACAGCGTCAGTTTAAATCGTACCTTTGCTACCTGAGGTCTTCCAAAACATGCTGCATAATGTAAGGAGGATGACCTCTGACCTCTGTTAACATCAGCACCCCTTTCACAGAGAAACTCTACCTGTTAAACAAGAAAAAGGAAACTAGCTTTTTCCATCCCTTTCTTTACATAAATAAATAATTTAAGATTCTGGAAAACTAATTTACCATTTCCTGAGTTCCAAAAGCTGAGGCCCAGTTTAAAAGAGTTTGTCCTACATCATCCATAAAATTTACTTCAAAAGCTGAAAGATATAATTAAATAATTAAAGCTCCCAGAATTACAAATTAAACTTCATCAATGTTCTTTAAACAAATTGTAGGTCTTAAAAGAAAACTAAGCATCCTCAATAATTCTAGGGAAGCATTTATGCCCCTAATTGCAATTAAAAAAGAGCAGTATAGAATTACTACTAACAAGACCTGTTGTGTATTTTACAAACTAAGTGAACTTATATATAAAGAATTTCAGGGTACTGCCCTAAGTTATTTGTTATGACGCCATAGATTATAAAAATAAAAAGATAAAGTATCTTATTATCTTTTTCAGAGTAATTTTGCTTACCTCCTGTGTCAATAGCATCTATTAGTGCATCTGTATCCTTACTGCGGATGCAATCTATCAGCTGCCGATGAGAACGTTCCCCAGAACTATCCAGTCTTCGCAATCCTGGGATTCTGCCTGTAGATCCAGCACTGGATTTTGGCAGGGCTTTTCTCCCTTCGAACAGTAGCACCAAAAGAAGATCTACTAACCGCATGGTATCCAGTACACATCTCTCATCACCCTGCAACGCACTTTCTATAGAATCTGGAAGTTCAGATCTTAGGAGATCCTGGAAATAATTAAAAGTCTGAACAATAAAAAATATACAGGGCTTTAGAAAATACTATCAGAACTGGGTTTCATTTCCATATGAAATGTTTCCTTTTTTCCCCTCTTTATAAATAACCTGTGCGTGTGTGTATACATATACAAATAAAATCTATAAAGCTATATATAAAATAGCAACACAAATCTTGCATATGCTAAAGTATATGAAGGGAAAATCCTATGAGAGCAAAAAGTTGTAACATGAAAGTATTTCTTACATGTGTTACTACTGGAGAGCCTCTACACAGGGTTGACAACAGGCTTACAATAGTTGACACCTGATTACTTAATTTAGAATCTGCAGCTGTAGATGGTGCTCCAGTGCTACTCCGTCCAGGTTTGCAAGCTGAAGATGGTCCTAATGCTGTCCCACCAGCAGCTGCCATGCGAGATAACAACTCCTCAGTTAATCCATGCTTAGCTAATGGAGCTGGGTCAACTCCACGCCGTGTGAATCTGTCTGCTAATGAAGCAAAGCATCTCAGAGCTCCATCTGAAACCTAAGAAAGAAGTGCAAGAGAAAAGATGAAAAATCAGTTACTTATGATGAAAAGATGCTGAGGGGATATTCACAACAATATAGGACCAACAGAAGAAGCTGATTTCCCTAGGTTCCCTTCAAACTCAGTAAACAGAGAAGATAATGCTTTTTAAGCCAGAAACTTGGGAGTCGGAACCCAAAAGTGCTCCAAACTGCTCACTGAAGGACTGTACTGTTGTTGGTTTCTTCCCCCCTTTCTCTCTATTGATGATATACAGAAATCTAGGAAACAATTTTTCTTCACCTGAAATTCAGCATTGTGAGTATCTCCTTAACTGTGTGACCAAAACCCCAAGCCAATCTAGAAAAACATGTTTAATAATCAAATTGCCAAATTAATAGATGTTGGAAGCACATTTTAAAAACAGTTTTTAGCTATAGATGGTGTTCTTACAGGAAACACAACTATCTGTAATCCCTACTAACAATTGTCCATTCTGTCAATACATTTTGAAAAAAACAAAACCAACCGACAGCTTGGTACTGAAATAGGGAGTACTTAACCTTCTGGTTGTTCTGATGTCAGAAACTGATAAGCAGCTTTCTAACAATAAAACTCAAAAAAAACCCAACCCAAAACGCCACGAAAACGCACTATGAGGTTTTACTTCCTAACTTTCACACATTTACTGAATTCCATATTTGTTCCTCAAAGGACAATTTAAAACATTATTATAAAGAAGATAAAACTGCAAATAATTTTTTAATTATCTTCTATATTTATAGACTATAAAATATTTCAAAATGTTATAATTTGATATTTATAATTAATATTGTGCTATTATTAAAATGTGTTATATTAATTTGGTGCTTTCTATTAAAAGAAATGCTATCAAACAAGCCATTAGCTGAGGCACCAACTCAGATCTCCCAAAGTATTAAACTGACAGTGAAGTTTGAGAGTTAAAAGTTGTATTTAAAGGTCTACATGCTTCTCACAAGTAAAAGAAATTTTTCAGTTGGACCAAGCCTAAAAATAGGACAAACTGGGAAAAGTAGATTTCACCCTTAGATAACCCAGATTGTCCACTGAGTATCTGACCCAGGGATATGCAAGTACTTTTGTCACTAAAGGAAAGAGAAAAAAAAAAGAGTGACACTGTGGAAACAAGGCTTACTGATGATCCTCTTAACAATTCAACAAAATATTCTGCTGGCCAACTGCCCAGGAAAGGATCCAACTTTTCATGTCGACGGTGAAGAGGAAGGGAGGTTTTTGCCTTTTAACATCTCTCTGATCTATACACTAAAAATATCTCCACCTTTCACATCAGGAGGTTTGCATAGGCATATCAAGATGAGCTGCTTCTGGCACATTTGTCTTCACAGATATGCAACAGCAAACCAGACCGGTGTCAAGAGATAGTAAAAACAAAACCCCACAAAACAAAAAACCAACAATACCTATTCTGTATCAGACTCTAAATTACTCTAGTTCTTATTCCCTAAGACATCATCAACTCCCAGTGCAGCCCATTTTCAAAATGATTGTCAGCTATTGCATACCAAGGGCTTAAATACAGTTACTCATCAACACACAGACAAGATTAGAGCATTAGCCAGACTTCACGAAGTTAAAATCTTAAGTCTCCATTAAGTTTGCAAGAACTTGAAAAACAAAGTTTCTCAAGAATAAATGCAAAGCATGTTAAAGTTCTGGCATAGTCCCTGCACGCCAAGCATTCTGATTTATCAGTACTCTTTTGCAAGGCATTTTTTCTTTAACTTGTAACGGTCACTACTCATGTCTTCTGGCATTTTCCTCCAGTTCTTTGACAGCACAATGGATAAACAATTCTGCCAATCTTTACATTATCTGTTACTTTATGGACTTCTATCAAAACAGCTCTGTCAGAAATACACAAGAAAGGTTCCGCTTAATACACCACATTAGTGGCATCAGTTTACAAAGCAAGAGTACTGTGGAAAGCATTTACATTTCTTCTCACAAACTGAAAGTTTAGTAGAAAGGTTAAAAAGCCAAACTTATAGATAAGCTGCTCTTAGGGCTACATTCATCTGGTCTGAACCCTTCCCTCAAGTGATGTTGCTAAATGGCAGCCCACACAAAAAGTGACCAAATCCAAGAGCGTAAAAGGATGGCAGAGAACAACAAAACTTTACAAAGGAAGTTACTAGGCAAATCCATAATATACATCAACATTCATTGTAAATCCTGAGGCTTGTTTCACACAAAGCACACATCTAAAGGATACTGGTACAGATTTACTTATTATCATCTGTGTTACTCCAATCTTAAACACACCTATCTTAAAGCTTAACTGCTAAAAGACTGAGTTAATTTGAACTCTCATTCAGGTCTCTAATAGTCTCAGCCATTGCTTTCCTTCAAGCACATTATAAATTGGGAAACAGTTAAAATACTGAAGACTTAGGGTACAAATTTCAGGATTAGCTTGCCTGGGACAATCAGTGCATTAAAAAAGTTATGAAATGTCTAAAAAACATGGTAGCTTGTTCTGAAATGGCTAGTGTGACAGCTCCCTGCCAACTGGGTCTTCCAAAAAGATCTAAAAATACATTAGAAAATTTAACTCACAGGCAAAGAGATTTAGTCTCCCACATATGACGTGCTTAATAAACCAGACTAGGGGAGTGGGAGGTGAGTGTGAAAAGAGTAATGAGGGCAAAAGCGGGAGTGAAATGGAGACTGAAAATGGTATGGACAAGAAGCTTGGTCAGGGTACAGCAAGAATTTGGCTAAATAGATATTGCAGAGCATTAGTAAGACATATGCAAAAGGATTCTACTAGTAGGAAGACAGTTCCTCTCTGATTCATTTTCTAGATTTTACAAGGACTACTTCCTCTCAAGTTAATGAAACTCCAATAAAGAAGTGGTGCTACATCTATAGCAGTACCATTTAGGCTGGCTTCCAGAGCAATATTTTAGCATTGATTGAGGATCTTTTCATTGCTTCTCTTAGCTTGGCAAAAGAAAAACAAACCAAATTGATTTTTGTCTCTTATTTATGCTCAATTTAACAGTGAGTGAGGTGCAGACATAGAACAATAATTACTTCAGAAAGTACTTCAAAACGCACTGAAAAACATACGGGGTATTTTTCAATAAAGTTTTCAGAGGTTAAACAAGATCATATTCATACAGTAGTGCTTGAAGTCAAACACTAGGCAGTATTTTTATTCTCTTGTCATCACAGCTGTAAAGGAAACTATCATAATATCCAAATATAACAACTACTATGTAGACATACAGTTGTTGAGGTTCTATAAAAATACCTAGCCATTCATTTATTAAATATAATGGAAGTTAAATTCACAGCATATTGAGCTAATTATTACATTACCTGATGATCTTCATGTTTTAATAAACTAGATAGTGATTCCACACAGATCTCTAATGAAGAATCCTGAGGCTCCATTTTGCCACAGAGTCTGGATACAACAGCCATAGCTGAATGCAAAGTATCTTTATGAACAAGGTGTCCGCTGTCACGAATGAATGTGAGAACACAATTCAACCCTCCAGCTTCAAACACAGCTCCAGACTCACGGGTACAGATTAATTCTAACACCTATGACAAAAAGAAATTTAATTAGAATGAAATACACATAAAAAGTCAGTTATTTGTTTATATCCATCTACAGACCTGGTTAAGAAAACAAAACCACAGAACAAAAAAACCCTCTCTTCCTCAGCACGGAGAAGGGGTCAAAGCCTCCAGTACTTAGTTTTCTTCAAAAACACAGGAGCAAATACAAGAATAACCCTTAATAGCATGGTCTTAACAGGTGTTCATGACAGAAAATTAGATAATAATTACCTTTTCCTGGGAGAATTAAGTCTTAGGATAACACACAACTGAAAGCTCTGAAATTTCCAGAGTGCTGTTAATCCAGTACTTCAGTGATGTACTTTTGAGTAGACTAGAACTACTAAATAGCAAACGCGTGCATAAAGTCGATGCCATGGTAATCAAGGACTCGAACAATATGCTATCACATGGCTATGATTATGCTTTAAAACATAGATTAAGTGTCTTGTAAATTTTTCTGAAAACTTCACAAGAGTGCAAAAGAGCTGTGTCTAGCATTACTGAAGAGAGAGCAATTTTTTTAGAGCAGGTAATTTATCTATATCTGGAACAATCCTTCATTCCCTTTTTAGCCTAAAGTTAGCCCTTAGCATTCTAGTTATGTAAGATAAACAGGAAAGCCTTCTTTTAATATTTTTTCTATACTTTTTTTTTTTAAAGCAACTTCAGCTTTCAAGAACTGCAGACTAACCGTAAAAATCAGCAACATCACTGGCATGTACACTTTTATCATACTCTATGTTTTTTCTTCACATTTTAATAAAATAAATAGGATTAGAATATGAGGAAGCTCTTCAGAAACAGCATATTTTCCAGCTCCTTCTTAAAAACAGAACCTTCTTCAGTACACATACCTTCACACACTGCTCAGCCAAATCTCTGCTCGTTCTGTTGTTAAGTTCGACAACTACTAAACGATTACAAAGTGCCTTGATAGCTCCATCCACTCCCACAATCCTACGGGTGCATTCAGCTGATACATCCAGATAATACGTTATGGCACGAGCTGTTACTTCTAATACATTGTCTGGAGCACTTTCATCAAGAAAAATTTTGCACAGTGCTGGTAAAAAAGTTCGAGGAGGGCACCTGTAGGAAAAAAAAACGACACCATCACATTACTAAGTTGTGCAAGTTTCTTTACATTAAGTAATTTCATACACTTGCACATTAACAAATTAATGCTCTTCATGCTGACATGATCCACTCAATTAGTTTACATTTGGATCAGAGCATTGATTTAGAACGCTAGGATGTGGGCATCTCATATACACTCCAAAATTCAAATCAGTAATCTGAAAAGATTCTTTGTTAGGGGACAAACCCAGCAGAGGAAAAATATTCTTGAAATTTTACAATCATACAGGGAAAAAATTCTCTTGGGAAATCATTTTAGGAATTAACCTCATATCACCAAACAGAACGTTTTTTTTTTTTTTCTTAACAGAGCTTCAAGGTTCATGATGGTAAACAGTTACTTTACCATGAAATACTATGTTCAATATATAGAGTAAAGTTTTTTGGTTTGCTCCACATTTTAACTCTTGGTGGTCCTTCCTCCTTATGTTAGAAACATTCTCACTTGTCTTTTTATCCTCTCCTCCACCACCTTCTTTTTCCCTAACCACACTGAGAACATATTTAAGTCATTTAGCTTGCTTCTATTGCATTTTCTCGTGCTTCAGAAGCCTCTGGCTCTCCTCTTTATTGTTAGCTTCATTTCCATATGCAAGGACAGTCAAGGACATCCCTCAATTTTAAAACAAAATAAGATACAACAGTCCTTCTATTTCTCTGACATAATAGATGTTCATTATAATCCTTTTCATTATTATGGCAGCTGTGGTTAAGACTGATTGGGATAAAAAGTACCAAGACATGGAGGTATAATTTAAGACAATTTATCTTCCAATAGCATACTTAGCAACAAATAACATAATGATTGTTCACTTCAGTGGTAGAAGACTTCCAAGGTGGTGGTGGGGAATTAAATGAAGGGGATATATGCTGTGAGAGCAGTCAAAATAACTGGATATCTCATCCCTAGATGTAGGAGATCAGACTGAACCTACAGGAGGCGAATATTGCAACTTTTTTTTTTTTTAAACTAAGGTTTTGGTCCTCAAAAGAAGGCCTAAAACTTTTCTAAATCCAGAAAAGAAAGAATAAAAACGGTAACATGCTTTTTTGTCTGGAAGACAGGTGAAGTACTCGTCAATGAATCATTCTGAAGACTAACCCCGAGGTCATTCAGTATCCCATCTGGTATGCACCAGTGATGCATACAAAGGCACCAAATCCTGGGACAGCAAAATGCTAACAGTTTCCTTGAAGATCTGGCCATGGTTTATGAAGTAATTAAAATTACTTCAAACTTTTGTTTACCTGACAAATAAATACATTACCCAAGGATCCTTAATGACATAAATTTATAAGCGAAGCTTCAAAAATGCTAAATCACATATTTAATACTTAAACTAGTCTACCCATATCCAGCCTATACTGCCTGTTGTTCTTCAGAAATTTGCCATTTAACTCCACATCTTTCTTACGAGAAATTTACACTAATGTTTGAAGACATTATCCACAGGGGAAAAAAAGTCTTGAATTTGTACTCATTATTAGATAGCCACTATACAATGACACAAGAAGCATTTGAGTACATAAAATTTAAAGCAGCCAGTGCTATCTGTTCCAGTGTTTTGGTGTTAGATCTTTTACACTGTATTTTATGCAACATCAGACAGATAACTAAAACATTGCTATGAACAGCATTGTCAAACAAAAGAAAGAGAATTTACCAACAAACACAAATCTTAAAAAAAAACAAACAAACAAAAAAAACAAAACCACACATACATAACTAAGTGGAAGGTAAGGAGCTCCACTGTCTCCATTGAAATACTAGCAAGTAATAGTAAACCATTTTTCTTAGATTTCCAAAGATAGCACCAGAAAAAAAACCTCTAGGGTTTTTTTTTTTTTTTTTAGGGAGCCAAAAGCAAAACTTATGTAAATAATACATTTACTTTTTTCTATGATTTAATAGTTTATAAAAAGACACAGCACAAATGGAACTCTGGATGTATTTTCTGAAAAAGGAAACTTAAAAATTTGGAAGAAATCTGTTCGTGTCCTTAAAACACCTGTCCACGAGAGCCAACTCCCAGCACATACAGCAAAAACACAGAGTTACTAAAAGCCTATCGTTTATACTGAATTCTTTGCCAGCACACAAATGCCAGTGCACTGTATCAGCAACACTGTTGCAAGAACAGCTCACTGGCAAAAACTTCAGGGTTTAGTTTTTTGTTTGTTTTTTTTTTAATTACTGTTTGCCAGAACCTCTAGCTACATTAGTCAGAGACCATACTTTTTCAATTAGGAGGCAAATAACAATCTCCACTTGCTCTCAGGACATTTGTGTTCTGACTTAAAGGAATGATTTCCAGCTCCCCAATAAGGAAACCAGGTTGGATCATTAGGTTTCAGGAAGAAATTGTAGGTTTGTCATACACTTAACCTGTGGGAATTACTTGGTTCTCAAAATAAAAAGCTACCCAGACTTCCACTAATTTTGTAGACTATGGTAATGCACGTTGAATTCCTATAAAAGCAGCAATAATGAGAACTTCACTTGTTCTGAAAAAATATTTATCTTTTCTGAAAACAGCAACTGATCTATTTTTAACAAGCTACTTCAACATCTGAGCTCTTATGTACTTGACGCTTCTTTTAACAGTTCAGGTTTGGTTTTGTTGGATATTGCTGGTGAACAGGAAGTTGAGAGCTAGACTACACCATGTAGAAGAGGCAGCAGAAACATTTTTATAAAGATTTATTAAGGACAATAACGAAGAGAAGAAAAGAGGGGGGAAAGGCAATGCTGAAGCTTTAATTTAAGTGCTAAGGAATAATTTCTTTTTCTCCTTTTCCTGCAGCAAATCCAGAACCAACACACAAGAAATCACAGGCTTGAAAGTAAAATGAAACAAAACACGCTAACTTTGTGGTATGAAATTTTATGCACTATCCACTCTAGTACATGCTAATTTACTGCAAACTAAACATCTGTGAAGTGTTTGTTTTCATCATATTTCAATGCAGAACTCACTAAATAGTTTTGAACTGTTGACGATTACCTAACAACGAAAAAAGTCAGGCCTTCTAAAATTGAATGCTCTCGACCAACTATAAACTAATCTAACAAATCATATAACCAATGTGTAATGGAGAAACACATAGTAAAAAAGATGAAAACCAAGATGGCTCATGAAGAAACATCAGTCATATAATGATGCATATAAAGATAATATTAAAGCCTTATCATTATTACAGCTCATACAAATTCAGAAGTAACAAAGTCTAAACTTCATTTTGCTCAGACATTGTTATCAGGAATATGACAAAAAAAAAAAATAAAATTAACAAACCAGAATTTTAGGTCTTAATCTCCAAAACAGCAAGTGAGAGATTCTCGTTATTATTTTAGTATACAATATGTGTAGTCATGTCATCATCTTCCCCTTCATGTCTCTCTCAACTCAGACAACTTCGTTCAAGTTCTACATAGTACGGTAATAGAAATTAAGTCACATCAGGCAATAAAACGCATCCAGAAGTCTGAAGTATTTCTCAGGAAAGCAAAACAGAATCCAGGTCTGTCTATCAGCCCGGAGTCTCTGCCAGTGAATTGCCTTAACAATCTATTACATACGGCTACTACTTTTTCAGAGAGGTCACAGCTGGCAAGAGATCCAACTTGTGTTTTCAAGCCCCAAAGGATGACAGCAACACTGATATCGACTCTGAAGATAAAGTCATCAGTTGTATTCTTAGATACAAAAGACACATTTGGCCAATGCAGTCCACCATACACCAATTTGCCTAGACAGAAACCCTACGCTATCCCGTCCACTGCACTGTGATATTATTTCAGGCCAAAACATAGATATACTTTGTTTTAAGCAGCACAGTTCTTTAACATTTTGAACTTATAATGATATTGCTAGCAAAAAAAAAAGTTTACTATGTTAGCCAAGTATACAAGGTTCTTCACTGCTCATATAACAGCTTTTCTGGTCAGCTACAGACCTTTTATAATTCTATGAAAACACAATTATCAAGTTATATTTGTATGCGTTTCTGAAATACATCTTCAAGAAGCTGTGCCCAAGCCTCTTCAAATAATCTTTCACTCTGTGGGTGTAAAGAGATTGAGACAAGACAAAAAACACACTAGTATACATACATCTTTTCCCAGAATTTTAACAGTATTACAATTGTGCAAATTTGGATGAAGAAGACGGTAAATTTCTGTGCTGAACTAAGTGAAACAATCCAGTAGCAGGAGCTTTTTGTGGAGGAATGTAATTGACTGGCCTTCATTAATACCACATAAGCAAGCAGGCAGGAATGCATACACACAGGCATACCCTGCAAGTTTAAAATACTGCCTTCTCCACACCTTATTGCTGCCTTGTGATCATTAGACACAGTAGATCAAGGCTGAGCCTCGCTCATGACTAGCTCTGAACTTCTCACTGCATTGCCTTCTCCTATCCAGAAGAGTTCCTAAAACGTTTAGCACTTCCCTCTCCTATCTATTGTCTGCAACACACAAGTCATTAGTATCTGTCATACTGCAGCATCTGAGGGCTCTTGTCACAAACTAGGATCTCTCCACACTACCGGAGAAAAAAAACCCAACCAACCAGATTCACCAGCATTTTCTGCTATTTTAATAGGTTCTAGAGGAGATATACTGGCTTCTCCAAAAGCTATGAAAAGAATGAATTGCACTGCTGTTGTTATGCCCACAACAGCTACCTAAACTGCTGCTCTGAACGTGCATGCAGAATGACCAGGTAAGAATGATGCTCTATTTCACTTTACTTGGAGCAATACTATTTGGAACAAGAGGAAGATGTACAACCTACACGCAAAGAGCTACTCTTACTGAGGTCACAAAAGAACTTTGCCCTTGGTTTTGCAATAATTAAAGATACATCCTTTGTAAAAATATTTGGTCCAGGCATGGGCAGATTTGGTGGAATTGAGAGCAGCAGCTGAATAAAAGGAAAGCAAAT